TGAGTCTTGTTTCGTTTATCTCGATGATTTGATTGTTTTCGGAAACAATTTACAAAATCACAATCAAAATTTAATTAAAGTTCTTGATAGACTTCAAAAAGTGAATTTGAAGCTCAATCTAGGAAAGAGTTAATTTTTAAAAAAAGAAATATTATATTTAGGACATCTTATTTCGGCAGATGGCATTTATCCCGTTCCAAACAAAAGTACTGCAATTTAAAATTATACCGTACCTAAGTCAGCCGATGAAACTAAACGGTTCGTAGCTTTTGCTAATTATTATCGTAAATTTATTCAAAATTTTGCTGAAATTGTTATTCCTTTAAATAAATTATCGCGAAAATCAGTAAGTTTTGAATGGGATAAAAACTGTCAGAAGTCGTTTGATAGTTTAAAACAGGCATTAATAAAACCACCAGTTTTACAGTATCCAAATTTTTCTCCCGATAATCAATTTATTCTTAGAACTGATGCTTCTGGGTACGCAATTGGGGCTGTCCTTTGTAATTCTGATGATAGACCAGTTGCATATGCTAGTAGAGCTTTAAACAAAGCGGAAATTAACTATGCTACAATCGAAAAGGAACTTTTGGCTATAGTTTGGTCTATTAAACATTTCAGACCGTATTTGTATGGACGTAAATTCAAAATTTATACAGACCACAGACCTTTGGTATATCTGTTTGGAATGACTAATCCGTCGTCCAGGTTAACAAAATTTAGGTTAGTTCTTGAAGAGTATAATTTTGAGGTGCATTATGTGAGGGGTACGCAGAATGCGCCTGCTGACGCATTGTCAAGAATAAAAATTGATGTCAAAGACCTTAAAGTTTTAACAGAAAATGTTTTTATAACAACGAGAGCTCAAGCTAAAAACGAAATAAAGAAAGCTGCAAATTCAGAGATTGACGAAAGTACTAAAGATGATACAAGGACTGGCCACCCTGGTATTGTCGAACTGTTGAAGCAACCTCTGAATTCAGTAGAACTAAGATGTTTAAACAAAAGAGAATTATCATCTATTCACAATAAATTAATTAAGTCGAGAAAGCTTTTATATGATGTAAAATTACAAATAATTTATATAATTAATGATTTATCGACTCTAGCTCTAGACGCAGAGTTGAAATCTTTATCTAGTATTTGTAAAAAATATGGAATTCCAGAATTGTTTATATTAAAGTATAAAGAAAATGAAAATTTAATTAAGCGCTTAACAAATGATTGCAATCGAATACGAGAATATAATCTTAAAATTAACATTATTTCTAATGCAAAAGGCATAAATTGCAAGCAAACTCGACAATTAATTTTAAACGACTTTCATTTGCTTCCGACCGGAGGTCATGCCGGTGTGAATAGAATGTATGCAAATGTGAAAAAATATTATTTTTGGGTAAATTTAAAGAGTGACATAGAAAAATTCATTAAAAAATGTGACGACTGTCAGAGGCACAAGTATTCCAAAAATCAAATCGAACCTCTAACAATTACAACAACAGCGTCATCAGCATTCGAGAAAGTATATTTAGACCTTGTAGGACCCATAACCCAGGATAATGACGATAATCGATACATACTGACACTTCAGTGTGAACTTAGTAAGTTCGTAGAAGCTTATCCGCTTAAAAACAAGGAATCTGAAACGGTGGCAAGGTCATTTGTTAATAATTTCATCTTAAAATTTGGGATTCCGAAAGATATTGTTAC